TACAGAAAGATTCTCAGAATATCTTGGACAAAGAAGAGGAAAAATACTGACATCTTAAAAGATCTTAACATCAAGGAAGATTGGCTAATAAACAGCATCCTGTCTCGGAAGCTGAAATATTTTGGTCATATCAATCGCCACGATGGATTGGAAAAAATTATAGCAGAAGGCATGATACCAGGAAGGATGGGCAGGGGCCGACCGACACGAAGATGGGCACAGGATATAAGTGACGCCTTGAGTATGAAAAGTACATAAGGCGGGAGAACTGGCGAGAGACCGAGTTTCTTTTATGCAGACTGTGATGAGAGCGACGTTCTGCAAAGGACCTGCTACATGATGACAATGATATTCATACAGTACATAAATGACGTAGGCATTTGTGCTTAGGCGTTGCAAACGCGTTTCGAAATGCCGGGGTGCCGGGTTCAATCCCAACTTTGGACTGTTTGTCTTCCGTTGGTTTCAACAGTGGTACTAAAAGCTGACAGTTTCATCTCAATGGCAAACTACTGAACGTAAAATGTACCTAGAAAAACGACAACAGCCTAAAAATGCTGAGCTTGGTTCTGCAACGTCCTGTGAAGAATACGCAACTGACTAACAGAAAATATAGCAACACAACGATTCAATTTGGGAACATGGTTGCAAGCTGGAAAGTGATCTGCTGCTAAATCTCTAGCAGTTAAATTTAAACTTGGTATTTTGGAGTTATAAACCGCCTTCGTACCTCCTAAGATACAAACGCTTGTGAAGTATCCTCTCAGAGCTAGTGTAGTTTATGTGTTTTATTCGTTCTCTTTGGACACGCCGTTTGCGTTTCTGTAACTATACTATTACATTGGTAAATGCCATGACAACGTGAAAAGATGGGTACTGTCTGTGGTGAAGCGGGGAGTGACATGGGGACCGACCAGCTATCAAAACTCAAAGGAAAGACAACGCGGATATACTTTCATATTGCCACTGGCACTATTGGTATTGTAGCGGCTGCTGAAGATTAGAACAGAGCCCTTATGGGAACGTCTCAAATGATGTGATGCCAGTTCCAACCCCCCCCCCCCCCCCCCCCAAAAAAAAAAACCAAAAAAAAAAACTCAAGATTCTAACCTGGGTCTCTTGCATAACAGCCAGCGTTCTTAGCCCCTCGGCCAGCCACTCTTTTTCATATTTCTAATAACCAATAAACCATCCAGCATGACAGCCACCGATCTTGGCACCTGGGCCAACCACTCTTCTCCATAAATCTATTGACTAATAAACCGACCAACAAGACATTCACCTTGGTAAACTGTTGATCCAGAGTTTTCCGATCATTGCTCCGAGTGGCAGTTCGTTTTATTGTCTTCCGCGAGTTTAATCTTTGCCATTTTTCCTTTTCTCTCTGGGCTGCTTTCTTCTCCACGTCAGTTTCTGTGTCTGGAAGAAAACAGATTTGTGATACGAATTAGTTAGTTAGTTAGTTAGTTAGTTGGGTTATCATCATTGCACTCCGGACATGTCCATAGGTGCTCAGATCCTCCCCTCAGTATGAATCCCAACTTCCGATGGCTAATAGTACCAGTTCTATGTTGATTAACAAGTCTTCTGACGTGTCCGGTGTGCGTCTTGTTTTTTGCTGTGCCGATCTTAATTCCCAAGTCTGCCATTCTGGCGAGTGATGTGGATTCACTGCCACCAAAGTCCTCTATCCTTCCCATTTCTCTGAGGGCATTGATAATATCAGCATGATCCATAGGCCGACCGTCGGCAGTGATAGCGGATCCAGCCAACCTGTCAGCTCTTTCATTTCCATCGACGCCTGCGTGTCCCGGAACAAAAATAAAGGTGACTCCTCGCACAGTGGACTTCTGAATTGATTGTGATACGAATAAGCAGAATTAATACACATTAATATATTTTCTCTCCCGTTTTGTAGTGTTTACATTATAAAATAAGGAATAATTGTAGACACATAAAAAGGCAGAAAATTGTTCCATTCTCCTAATATTAAACGGCCCAAAAAAAAAAAAAAAAAAACTCATACAAGGAAGCCAGATCTGTAGACGCTAAACTCAAGTGCGAGAATAAGGCTAAAGATCAAAAGTGGACCAACAATCAGAGCTTTTCGTCAAAGTCTACAGCCGATGAACGGTAAGTAGAAGAAGAAGAAGAAAATCCTGATATTTATCTTCTGTGAGTCCTCTGCAGAGAATAAATGTCTGCGACGTAGTGGTTAAAAGTTTAAATCTGCATCGAGGCCAACATAAACAATTATCTAGGCTTCTAGGTCGACCCATTCTACAAATACAATTGCTTCTCTTCTTCTATTTCCACCATTGTAGCCTCCAACTCTCAACCTACTCGTGACAGTTTGTCCTATCCTAGCTATCTACAAATGGCTACTAGGAATACTGTCTCGGGAAAATGAAACCACTGGTGTTATGACGACCACGTCACTTGTCTAGCCTGGATGGTCTTCAAAACTAGAATTAGCACTGAAGTTAACATGGACCTTAGACGCGATAACGGGTCCTATACTTTGAATTCATGACTACTCTTTAGTCATCATTTAGCAGGTGTTTTGCAAAACGTCGCTCTCATCTTCGTGTTGGCCGGCCCCTGGTACCATGCCTTCCGCTATTATTTGTTTCCAATCTTTAGTTCCACGGCACAATTTTGCACTGGTACAATGGCCAGTTGTAAGCTAGATTAATAGACAGGTGGGGTTAGATTGATAGACAGGTGGGGTTAGATTGATATACATGTGAGGTTAGATTGGTCTGGTAGTCTGGTCTGGTAGTCTTAGTTTCAGCTTCATAGCAAACGGGTTGCCCCATCTTTGCTCCGCTCCTATGCCAACGAAAAACACTCAGAATGTTTATCACAGTATAGTGTGGAAAGATTGACAGACTGCTGTCTCAGCATATCTAGCATACACTCGCATTAAAGCATACGGTAGCCATCCGAAGTGCTAACACAAACAGTCCAACATTAGAAATGCAGTTCATCATTGATGATAGCAGAACTTGTTGCCAACAGTTCAGCAGTTGTCCACGCGATCAATTTTAACCAGATACGGGCACCGCCAACATTGCGCGACAGGCATCACGCCATTTTCTGAATCTACAATTCTGCACACCACCACGTTGGTCACAGTCGAAAATACATTCCAAATGCAATCCGCAGCTCACAGGGTCACGCCATGCATTCAACTCAGAAGCTGGGCGATGAAACTTTATCCAGTCTACAAATGGAGCAAAAATACTTCGGCCACCGTCCGGCAGAAGCAAAAAATTTGCCTCTGCTTCGAACAGCGCCGCTGTCTATCGTCCATTTTAACCGGAAGTTAGATTGATAGACAGGCGGGGTTAGATTGATAGACAGGTGGGGTTAGATTGATAGACAGGTTGGGTTAGATTGATAGACAGGTTGGGTTAGATTGATAGACAGGTGGGGTTAGATTGATAGGTGGGGCCGCAGACAATGTAAGTAGATACTAAAAACACTTACCAAGCTCTGTCTGGTCAACCACCATCAGATCAGGGACGTTCTCTTCAGATGCCTTGACCTTCTGCATCTGCTTGACCCAATCCACGAATACCCCGGGTGCCACGCCTGGGTGTTTGCCATTCACCGACCCTGTGATTGATGACGGAAACATTTGCAACCTAAATTACACTTGTATCAAAAAAATATAGTAATAAGACGAGACATTTAATGTTGATTATAAAACAGAATGTATGTAGTATATATATATATATATATATATATATATATATATATATATATACATTCACACATACACACATCATACATACATACACACAACAAGGAACACATGAAACAGTTAACATATATAACAGATAGCGAACAATAAAAAAGATAATACATAAAGTAAGAAACATAAATAACAGATAGCTTATAAACTTATTATATCTAAAACAAGGAATTTAAAAAAAAAACAGACTTATTCTTCTTCTTCTTCGCGTTCACCGGCTGTGAAAGTTCTAGTTGTTCGTCCACTTCTGGACTGCTGTCCGCTTTCAGAACCTGAGTATTGCGTGTGTATTTGTTTGGCAGATCTGACTCATTTGTGTGCAGACTGTTGGTTCTTATATATATATATATATATATATATATATATATATATATATATATATATATATATATATATATATATTACAAATGCAAAGATCGCGTTTCACGCCTTCAGGCTAATCGCATATAAGAAAAGCATCCACATATGTACAGGCCAACTGGCACTAGGTGGTCTACAAACACAGGCCGTCTTTACTTCCCCAGGACATACATCCTGGTACCCATTTTAGGCTGGGTCGACCTAGGACGCCACATACCATGATACAAATCCACACAGCCAGAAGTGGGTTTCGATCGTGGGAATCACGAGTCCGACTCGCAACATTAAAGACATGCATGTACGCCATATATAAATATATATATATATATCATCATCATGTAGCAGGTCCTTTGCAGAACTTCGCTTTCATCACAGTCTACCTGAAAGAAACACACACACACACACACACACACACACACACACACACATATATATATATATATATATATATATATATATATATATATATATAAATGTATATATATATTTATTTATATATATATATAAAGGAGAGAAGATTCTTGACAGTCTTGTTGCATGGCATTGAGGTGTGTCCGCACACGAACTGATAGTTGCTTTAGGAGATCGCAGATTGGGGAGAGGCATGATCCCCTACGCCAGTCGACAAGGCAACTGGTGGTGATATATATTTATAAAAAGAAAACAGCTAACAAAACATATAATATATAGCAAATCAACATACAAAACAGGCAGCACATATAATTGGGATAAATAAAAAAGATAATAAATGTAACAGAGAACGTATAAAACAGAACATTCACAATAAAAAATTATATAACACAGAGACAAATTTTACGTGAGTGATCAAAAAACAAGGCTTGTGTCAAACATTTCACTAATGGCTACTTGTTGTCCCTACCTCTCATGCCAGTTCCCGCCAGATCCTGGATGTTGGCTGCTGCTGCGATGTGCAAGAATGTAGATATTCTGTGCACCAACATAGCAAAGAACTGGATCACTAGCACAATGCCAAACACCAGCATAAACGCCATAGAGATGGGTTCAAACCCTTCACTTCTAAACCCCTGTGATGTACAGTTATGTTAGCACTAGATTAATATATGGCATGAATTATAAAAGAATTGAAATGGATTCATGGGAACAGGGTCCATGGAGTGTGCTGCATGGAAAGAAAAAATCAACATTGGAATATGGATAAAGGAGAGAGGGAATGCAGACAGGTTAAGATCTGAGTGTTTGAAAAGAAGTACATCAAGCAGGCATGTATGCCTACAATGGCAACCATAATCCTGAAATTCAGAGTTGATTGTGGAAGACTGTTCCCAACGTCAGCAGCTCTTGCCTGTCACATTCGCTATGAATCTAGGCTGTAACTCGCAAACCTCCTTATGGCATAATAATCGTCTATCATGCGAACTAAGTAAGATTTAGTTTAGGTGTTAAGAAGATCCCAGTGTTTCAACGATGCAGCCTCAGTTTTGTGTTTTGTGTGTGGCTTAATGAAAGCGAAAAACCACTCTGCCAAAAACAAAAGGAGGAGGATGAAGTGAAGAGGAGAAGGGGAAAAAAAAAGAAGAGAAGAAGAAGAAGATGATAATGATAAGAAAAGCAGGCTGATGATGATGACGATGAGCTGATGATCAAAAGACACTAGGAAACAGTAATTAATGATAAGTGAAAGGCAAGTTTCCCCACAAGAAGCTAAAGACAAATATGATGCTTACAAGCTAAACAAGCTACATTCATGTATGATGATGATGATGACGAATGTTGCCTTACCGACAGTGAGCAGTCAAGCGTGATGGTCAAGTTGGGCGTGCTTTTGGAGACCTGCTGAAGCATAAACACCAGCACCACAAACAGACAATTGATGAGAGCAAACGCCAGGAATGTCTTGTTTCTTAATTCCAGCAAATCCTTCTTCACCTACCAGAAATAGACAGAATCAGAGTGCTAACAGTATTTCAAAACAATGTAATAAATTTAAAAGAATGCGGGCAAATGAATAATAAATCAATGAACCAAGAACCGAAAATCACTGATCTCGGGACATTCCCACACTTGCTGCGTCCCCGTCTTCAGTAGCCAATGAAGAGTTGAAACGCTAATAGTACCGGTTGCAACCTGAAAGATCAGCCTCGGCTTCCCCTTCAGTGTTGAATATTTTCCACAACATCTATACATCCCCCGTTCGATTCGTCTTTCAGTGGGGATTCCCTATCAATTCTTTTGCACTGTACATTTGTTCTCAAAGAGCCTTCACCACATCCGCTTTTTCATATAGCAGCTCACTGCCAAAAGGGGCAGCAGCAGCTAATCTTGCAGCCTACTCGTTACCACGCCAACCTGAAAAACCTTGACGGAAAATGCGGGATATGATCTTAACTGGGTCTAATCAAGTGAGGAAAGCCACTTTGGGCGCCGGGCACCAGCTTCAATTTTTTGAAGCTCTGTGGATCAGTTACGATTAAATGTCGGGCTGTGCTGCTCTCAAGCCATCATAAAGCTGTCGTTACTACCTCTCAAATCGCATGTATGACGTTGCACGCGACACTCTCGGCTTTTAAGCAGTGTCCATTGACCTCTGCACTAGAACCCCACTCACTCTTCCTTCCTCTCACTACAGACACATAAACATTACACAGCCATTACGCACACCAGGGTTCACTATAAGATTTCTTGACAATCTTGCCTTCGATCTTATGCAGAATTTACAACGTGCATGTAGGCTTTTGCAAATATGGTTGCTGATTCTCTTTTTCCCCATACATCCCCACAAAATATTCCTGTTTACTCTATCGAAGGCTTTTTCATGGTCTATGAATGTCAACAAACAGGTCTTGTCATGTTCTATTGCTCACTCTGATAATTGTCTCAATGTATATATTTATCGTATCTGATGGCAGTGTGATACTGAAACAATTATCATCTGCACCTTTTGACCATTTCCTCCTGAACATCTGTTGTTCAGTGATTTGTTAATTAATCGACTGATCACCCTCATTGCACATTTGACAATTGTATAAGCGCTCAGATTCCATCTTGAGTATCTCACCCTAGGCGTTTGGCGACTGATAACAGCATTTCTGTGTTGATTTGGTACAATGTGACCTGCATAGTGCCCATGCCTGGCAACACCTCTTTTGACATGAAGTTCTTCTAGTCTTGTCAAGGTTGCCCGAATTACCGTTGTCATGTGAAACATCTAATCCTCATTTCTCCACGAGAGCACTGAAAACATCGTCCAATTCCGTCAGAATAGACCATCCATGGTATGCAGTACCATGACTTGTTTCCATGTCTTTCTACTTCTTTCTATGAGTGCTTTTCATTACATTGTCTGTTTATATATATATATATAATATGCAGTACTACGTGTGGCATGTCAGATTCGATATGCTAAGATGGCGGCTCTTAAATCACAAACTAGTAATAAGGGTGCATTAATTTACCTTTTCCTCATGCTGTTCGTCTTTCTCCATGGGGTACAGATACTGGGCAATCAACTCTTTGAAGAATACTTTCTCTTTCAGTGGCAAACCAGAGGATTTGGTGGCTGGGATTGTTTCCATCCAGTGGCTCCTGGTCCGGCTGGGTACGTTTTCTGAAACAGTATTAGTGGTGTCATAAAAGAGGGAGCCGCGGTCTGCCGGTTATGAACGCATTCGATGAGCTGCCAGTGGTCTGGCAACAAACCATCAAGGCATGATGCCGACAATGTCTAGAGTACTAACCGTTCAAGGAATCATTTTCAGAAAAAAAAAAAAAAAAAGATCCTAAACCTAAAACTGTCCAATAAGCCATACCAAAAAGACCCCAAAAAATGTTGTAGCTTGTTTACGACGTTTAGTAAAAGGGTATGCAACTAAATGTTCAGCATAAACAAAATAAAGTGCTTATTTATAATTTATTTTAGTATTATTATTATTATTATTATTATTATTATTATTATTATTATTATTATATTGTCTCTGACGCTGTTATCACTGATACAATCAAACTGCTGCTGGTATCACTGAATCTTAACTCTTGACTGAGTGCTAAAGGCGGGGATGCGCACATGTGGGAATAAATCAACGCAATATAAGTAAAAACTCAGGTTCCACTCTATGTGCGTCAGGTATTTTGTGTTAATTTTATATTTTGTACACTGACACTGGATGTGTTATGTAATCACTATTACACCTATAGCCTTTATTTTCTGGCACTATTACTTGACGGGATCGAACTGAGTGTTTTTCTAACCTTGTACACATTCTTACCTGGCTGAGTGTCTATAACCGAGGCGTGATTCAATGACACACCTCCATCGCTGTGTGGGAGATGTGGCTGCAGGAGATGCTGTTTGCTGGAGTCCACGTCAACAGTCTTGGAGCAGCACACGCAGCTGAAACACAAGATCCAGAAGGAATTTAACAACATAAGCACAAGATATATAATGAATCTAACATCTGATACATGAGAGCTAGAAGGAATCTAACATCATAAGCACAAGAGAAAGAATGAATCTAACAGTTCATACACGAGAGTCAGAAGGAATCTAACAGCTGAAATACGAGAGATAGAAGGACTTTAACAACATAAACACGAGAGCCAAAATGAATATTAAAAAAAAAAAAAAAAAACCACGAGAGGCAAAAGGAACTCTAACATCTGAAATGTATTTGTAAATCAAGTATAGCCATATCATTTTTGAATGCCGTCTTGGATCCAACGGTAACCTGTTCTAAAACTATATCAGAAAATGCCCTGACAACCAACCACCGATTTTCACTTAGTAACACATAGCTCCTCCATCACTTCTAAATAGTTCATGGGCCAGTAGCATGAAAAGGATCGATTGCAGTTTCTAACATCTAAATAATGTTGCTTACAATGTTCATATCTAAGTAATGTTGCATGTTTAATCTGCATTCAAACTACTTCTAGTAATGATCCTGCTATAAACAGTTAAAAGACAGGAAATGAATCTTCATATAATTATGATTATATATAAAAAACAAAGGATATTGCGACGATATGCCTTCAATAACTAACAGCAACAAGAAAATATACATCTCACTTCCAACATAAAAAGGTGTTGGGGTGGGGGGGGGGGGGAGTCAAGACTATTACGTAAAACAAAGCATACAAACAACGAAAACACAAAAACAAACAAAAGAACTACTCACCTAAGCAGACTACCTCTACTTGTGTAACTGTCCATATCTATTCCACCGGTGAACTTGGACACCCACTTCTGGACCGTATTCTGCTTCTTTCTGTCTGTCTCAGGTGTAGAAGTCACGGGTTTGGAGACTTCTCGTGTGCCCCAAGACACCACATGGAGGTTCCCAAGAGAGTAGATGATCAGGAGAAGCGACATCGAAGGCACGGAGACGAAGTACAGAAGACCATGCAGGATGCAGGTGAACTCCTGATTACAGTCACAAGTTAAGAGAAGAAATGTGTTTAAGGTTTGAAGTTTAATCAACGGATCAATATCATGGCACAAGAAATGTGTGATTCATGATGGTGTTGTTATATATATAACATAAAGGCTCATTGCAAAAGCGAATGGACGTCGCTTTGTACGCCTGCTATTTGATATCACAACGTCTAGTTTGAGAATGGCGGTGGAGGCAGTCACTGCCGCCTTCCGCTGGATTGAGAATTAGCTGTACATTCATGTGGTGTTTGTAACTGATTTACAGAGCATGCTGAGAAAGCTGGAGACGGGCAGGTTCCGTTCAGAGTGGCAAGCATCGCTTCAGAGGTCCTGGGTAGTTAGCATCCTTTGGTTATTTTCTCCAGGTCGTTCCTGTGTGTTGGGAAATTAGCAGGCAGATAGACTGGCTGATTCTGCAACACTTGTTGGTAAACTGATGTTTGACAAGTTATGTGTTGCCAGGGCTCTTTCGGAGCGCGTGAACAGTGCGGAGGCACATATAGATCATTACGGGGTGAGGGCTACAGCACTGCGAGGAGTTATCATGGGAGTCTGGCAGACGCTCAACACTCGAGGAAAAGGCAAGAAGGATATATATTAAGACAGTTATTTGTACCATCGAAATTGGAACTTTTAGCCTGCTGCTGAAGATGGAAACGGAACGCTTATGGGAGTATCTCGAGTGCTATGATGTAGATTATCAATTCAACATTCAATAGGTATAAAGAAACGTAACAGTTGTAATCATCGGTGCTATGCTGGCACGCCAGGTTGTCAAACTTCGTCATCAAGGCAGATCTCCCATTGGCCAGCGCTGCCGGTATTTATTATTATTGCGATAGTGGCAGGTAAAAAGAGGGGGAGGGGCGTTGGAAAAAAAGAGGGAGGGGGGGGGGGGGGGGGGTTGGTGTCTAAAAGCCTGAGGATTTAGGGCCGCATGGCTAGCGCTGTCGCTACCGACTGTACACGTTATGATCCCCCGCCCGTCAGACAAAAATTCCTAACCTCATCGAGGATTTGAACTAGGTTCTAACGATTGAGAACCCAGCATACGAACTGTTTAGACAACCGCTGGTCAAGGAAGACCACCTGTATAAGTGATCATCATCATCACATCATCATAGTCACGACATCATAGTCACGTGACACCGCAGGTAGTTGCGTCACCTACCAGATACTGTTGAATGTTTGGTCAGTTCCCTATAAATGCAAAAGATCTGATGTCTGGATGTTTCAGACCTGATCAATCAGCCCAATTTTGCGTGACGGTACCCCTAACTTCGCCATTTGTAACCCTGAAACTAATGATTGTGATTTTTTTTCTGTTTTGTGCATTCACCCCCACGCCCCCCCCCCCCCCCCCCTTCCAGCAGCTGGAATGTTGTGTTCTACCTTAAACAGCTAAGCTGCGTTATCTGCATCTTTCGGCCCAACACATCCGATTTCAGCAATCTGCTAATTAGTCACCTCCTAAAACATGCTTGTGGGGAAGGAGGCTGAGGCTCCCCCCCCCTCCCCCTCTACAATATGGCCCCAGAACCCATACATATTAGCTCATTAGTTTATTAGATAGAATCGAGATCCAGTTATACGATAGGTAACTTCCACACCACATGGCAAGGCCATCTAAGTGATAATCTTGTTCCCCATTTCTTCCCGACTACCCTACGAGGTGTAATCGGTTTGTCGGCATCTTTGCAGGAAGTAGTTTGCCCTTGCTTTATTCATGCGGTTTAGGTGACTATAGCGATTGTCTCTAGTGTTATTTTTTGTTTGCTCACCATCCGAAGACTTTAGGTCACAACCAACAGCTGTTTTTTTTTTTAAATTTTTTATTTAAAACTCTCAAGAAAAAGAGAGTGGGAAAGAAGAAGAAGAAGAAGAAGAAGAAGAAGAAGAAGAAGAAGAAGAAGAAGAAGAAGAAGAAGAAGAAGAAGAAGAAGAAGAAGAAGAAGAAGAAGAAGAAGAAGAAGAAGAAGAAGAAGAAGAAGAAAAAGAAGAAGAAGTAGAAGAAGATAGAGAAAAAAATAGAGGACGAAGAAAAAAAAAAAGAAGAAGAAGCAATAGGAACGAAAAAGAGGAAGAAGAAGAAGAGGAGGAGGAGGAGATACAATTCAGATGCACAACATATATGGAAACGACAGCCTTAATTGCTAAGACCAACCTGCGGGTGTAGAATAGCAGCCATGACAAAGATGCCCACAACGGTAATGAAGAAGATGGTGGTCACCGAGCAGAAGCCGTAGTCCGCTATCTGTCTAATCAGGCCCACCAGCACTATCATCATCAAGACAGCGTAGATGATGGAGACAATAGCGGCAAATAACAGCTGTTGAAAATGAACATCAGCATTTACTATGTATTGAAGTCGATTACGGGGAGATGGGAAATGTCATGGTTTTGAATATTATGGCTCAATAATGAACAACAATGTTGACTTACAAAATAAGTCAAAAACGAAAACAGTGTGAAGAACCTTTGATACAGCATCTGCATTCGAAGTAAAGTAACAAGTTTAAGATCATGCATTGTTCCCGCTGTAGCTTATGAATGTGAGTCATTTTGATTCTTACTTGGAAGAAGAACAAATAATCCACACTTTTGAACTGAAGTGATACAGAACATATCCTCAAATGCCGGGGACCAAGAAGAAGAAAGACACAGACATGCAACACTATCTTTTTCTCCTACTTCTTCTCGTTCACAGGTTGTAAACTCCGGCGAATAGTTCTAGTTGTTCGTCCACTTCTGGATTCTACTGCTGTTCCAGATATACAGATGTACACAGATGACTCATTAGTATGGAGACTGTTGGTTCCGCGCCTCTCAGGCACATGCACTCTGACTTAAAAGCCCGCTCCTAGTTAGTCGACTCTTACGTCATGCTTTTGGAAAGGCAGTGTTTCTATTGTCTCTCCCCCCCCCCCCCCTTTCCTTTAACTGGGGCGCCGAAATCCACTCGGGACAACGGGATCTGAACATCCAGAAGAATGTGTACACACACAAAAACCCTGTCTAGAAAGCTGTAAAGGTGCTGTTGATTGCTGTTGGTTGACT